AGGAAAGTCCCTTCCTTCCCTAGAATATTTTATCTATTTCAAAAATAAAGAATGGGCTCTGTTAAAATAGGTCTTGGTTTCAAGTGCAATTATACTGGAATCACCAAAAGTTAAGGGATTCCAATAGGTAAAAATCACATACAGCTGACTCTATCTCGACTTGCTGAAATCCCTAAGAAGATTTTGTGGATAATGACTCTAACCTCGTCTAAAATGTTTATTCTGGGCTCCAAAGCTTGCTTTTAAGCCTAGAGTGTAATCAAGTTCACTGCCTACTGTGAAAGGATTAAAGGATAATGTCATTTCCATTGTTCTGTCACCTGTTCTTGGCTATGAAAAGTAACAAAATACACACCTCTATCCTGGAGTTTCATGATTAAGAAGTGCTGCCCCTGGTGGGTTTTACCACTGAAAGAGGCATTTACCTTGAAATCAAGGTGTTGAGTACTGGCTTTCCAGTGGAGTGGTTTTCAAAGTGTGGTTCCTGGGTCATAGCATTAACATCACCTGGGAACTGCTTGGAAATGCGAATTCTGGGGCCCCATAGCCAATTTACTGAATTGGAAACTCTGGGGGTAGGGCTGGAATTCTGTGTTTTATAAACTTTCCCAGTATTTTTCACATAAAATAGTTTGGGAACCACTTTCTTTGGCAGCACAACTAACCACTGCAATCAGAGTTTACCTCTGAGAAGGGAATAGCAAATGTATCCTTTTATGATAGTAACACACGTCAGAGCATTAAGGACTCTTCCCTAGAACTAACCTAACTTCACATGTAGCATAAGCTCATTTCTTCTTCTCTAGAGCACAGACAGGACTCTTGTCTACTAAGATCTAATGTAGAAGGACCTTTCCAGGAACCATTAGACATCAAGTACCCTTCAATCTTCTCCCAGGTCCCTTTACCTTTGTTTATAATGACTCTTCATCATCCTCATCAAGCTCCAGAATAAAACATAACCTCATTTTACTGTGCAAATGAATGACAAATCATTTCCTGCCCCTGAACCACAGAAAATAATGCCACAAAACCTAGGCTTCTTCTATTCTACCTACGTTTTATAGTATAAGATGTACTTCTAAAAAAATAAAATAAAATGTTATGTCTGTTCTTTCTGGATACTCTGATTCCTCCTCCTCACCCCTGTTCTTCCTAAAAAAGTTTTAATTCATCATAAGGTCACTAACTATTTCACATATATTGCATTAAACATTCGATCCTCATTTGTCCTATTAACTGAGAATTGACCAGATGGCTATTCCTCTGACTCTCTCTCCTGAGCAGGTTTTAGTTAATTAAAAATGATTATTTTTACTACATATTTTATATATCAGCCAGATGTTACCTGTGGTCATTTCTGGAAAGGATCATTTGGTGGTTGGTCATAAAATATCGATGTTCCTTTGGGAGGCAAGACTCTTGCGCCTGATCAGGAAAACAATTGTAGGAATTGATTTCTCTCAGACCTTTTTCATGGTGTCCAAATGGGCAAATAGTTTCATTTCCTTAGAAAGTACAATCAAATCAAATTCTTCTTTCTATTTCTGTAACTCTGGGCGCTATTTATTTTGTGTAATAAAAAAGAATCAAGTTGACAGAAGAAAAATTAATAGTGGCCTCCCCATGTACTAGAAGAGCAAGCTGATTTTTCCAAAGACACTGACGTGTTATTTCTACATCGGGCTTAAGATACGGATGTAGGACAGCAAACTGCTCTGCTCCATCAGGACAGACACTGTATGACGTTCTTGTGAGGATGCACTTCCAGGAAGATATCTGAAATGGTTCCCACTTTGCAGATGCTGTATTTCATACAAACTAACATGCCTAAATTTCCCACTAATGCTTGAAATAATCCACAGTGAGGCAACAATATTACAATTATGAAATTGTCTTGCAATTTCACATCATTTTCTCTCCATTTGTAGAGAAACTAGAATCCAAACAAGCCCCCCTTTATAAAAAAAAAAAAATCAACATTGAACTACCTTTTAAAAAAATATATTCAGTTCTTGAAGTCACCAAAAATTCTGAAAGTCTAAGAGTGAAATTAATCACGCCAGCACTTGGACTAGATTTAGGTGGCTGATTACCTCCAAACACCATTTAGAAGACTCCCATAATAGTGGGTATGGCAGGATTTATAAACAATTACGAAACGTTCAATTCCAAAGTCCTGGCTATGACCTGTACAATATGTCATGGTGTGATGTGGATCTGCTTTCTCTGTGACTTTGCATATGTGACTTCACACTTTGAGTTTCTCTTCTCATGTAAAAAAAAAAAAAAAAAAAAAAAAAAGATAAAATTAGATAGTCCCTAGAGTCATTTTAAGCCTCTAAATTTTATGATTGGTTGTTTCACATTATCTTTAAAACCTAATATGCTTTATTCAACAATCGTGACAATTTGGGGGGAGGTTGCTTTTATGAACATAGAAGCTTTAAACACAACATGGCAAAACTCATTTCCTGGTTGCCTAAAGCATCTGCTCCGTGTTCTCAAGCAGACAGATCTGCTTGTAGTAAATCACAATCACCTCAGAAATGACCTCTTCCTCTTATGTTTTCGTAGCAATCAACATTTATGGGGAGCTTCTATTAAAGTCATCCTTGTTATATTTGACTTCAAGAGCCAGGTAAGGGGGCAGACATTTCTGATGAAGAGGCCAATAGCCCTTGGAATAAATTGTCCCCCAAAACACAAGATTATTTACCTTTAGTGGAAGCCGTGCTCATCAGCCTCTAATAGGTCTGAGGGACTCACCAGTCTTAATTTCCTGTGTGAATCTATAATTGTCCGCAGAGGTCAATTTCCGTGGATGTTTCATATAAATTAGAATTGAAGATAATGACGCCTGTTCACTTGATCAACTAAAGTGACCAGCTGGGTTTAATGGGAGGAAAACAGAAACCCCCGTGAAATGGAAATAGCTTCAAAGGTGACAGAGTATAATTATTTTCTGCGGTTTCTTCTCCAGAGGTGACTCGCCTTTGTGCTGGGGGATGCCTGGGCCAGCCTGGTATGAAGGCGGAAGTGGCATTCAGAGTCACTGACCATGTCCAAAGGCATAAGTCAAAAGCCAGCTTTCCGCTAAGGCGTTGGGGGAAAGCAGGAGTACTTGGCTGTACTTACTTTAGTCGTTTCATTTACAGTTAGAGAGGTGCTTTGAGGGACTTGCCTAATTGACTCCTGAGAGGCAAATTCTTACTTAGATTGCTTCAATAAACTTTTTCTCTTTATAGCCGTAAAGCATCTTCTTGGATTTGTGATAGTTTATCCTTAGGGCATTGTAATGTCAGGGCTGAAAGCACCTTGCATCACCCGCCTCTATCCTTTTATTTTACAGATAAAGAAACTGAGGTCCAGAAATGTGAACCTACTGGGCCAAGGTCACAAAGCTGGACAGAGGGAGGGGCTGGGCCAGGATCCGGCAGGTGAGTCACAACTGCAACTGACTCCCAGTCCAGGGTTTCTCCTTCATGAGTAGCTAGAGATTTGCTCAGGAAGGAGAAGACTCCATAAAAATCATCATTAATATATATATATATATATATATATATATATATATATATATGGATAAATGGTGATGGGAAAAATAAAAACTTTTTAAAAATGAACAATGTCCTGAAGTGTCTCAATACTGTGTCTGAGTACCTGATTCGCAGTGTGAACTAAGTAAATGTCCATTTGGAAACGTCATCAGTTCCCTGGTGCAGTTTTAGATTGAAAATTAATATCAATTAATTGTATCAAAATAAATCATTTTAAGTATTTTAAAAAGGAGGGAAAAAAAGGTTGTATAATGTGGTAAGGGTGTTAGCAAGCAAAACAGGTTGAGGCATGAAGCTGGGAGAGACCTGGGCAAAGGAACCAGCTGACTAAAATAGAGACCGTCTCCCGCACAGCTGACAGTGGGCTGCTGGAGTGCCTGGGTGTGCCGAGGGACAGTGCCACACGGGAGTGACTGCACAGGCTCGGGAACCAGGCTGGCTGCCAGGGCTTGATTCTTCACTGCTCATTGTTAAGCTCTGTGACTTTTGGCAAGTTACTTAAACTCTCTGTGCCTCAGCCCCACATCTTAATAAAAGGATGGTAATACCAGTATCCATGGTTGTAAGGATTTAATACCTTAATGTAGTTACATAACTGTTAGAGAGATTAAATGAGGGTTAAGTAAACTGAAATATGTAAAGAGTTTAGCACTGAGTGTTATGTTAGTGTCTGCTATTTTACCCCTACTCACTGTCGTAGTAAATCTTAAGTTTGAGGATATAGACATAAGTTGTGCTCATTAATAATGGACTGGGGGGTGCTTCACCTGAGAGAAGTACCCCTGGACTCTACCAGAGAGATTCAGGATCCAAAAAGTCATTTATAAAACTCTTTACATGCTTCACGGGTTCATTTTTGCAATGTGTATGGTGACAACTTAAAATTAAAAAAATAAACAACTACAGGGATTTTTTTTTTTTTTTAATTTAAAAAATGCAATGACATCCGTAGTTTCACATTGCAGTGACAGGCATTTCATTAACAAAACAATTAATAAAAGAGCATATCTGTTGCAAAAATTAAAGATGGATTTTCATGGCAGGAAGTTAGTGCCGAGCCAGTGCCCCCTAGGTCGTTGGAGGGGAGCAGCAGGTCAGTTTCCTCGGCACGTTTCTTGGGCACTTGAACATTTTTTTCCTTAGAATTTAATGTTGTCAAAGCCGTCATTAACATGATACTCAGAGTTTTAAAGGGAAAAGCCTCACACAATTAACAGAGCAGATCTAGTCATTGAAGAGCATTTCCGATGTGCTCGAAATGAGTTCCATGTGTGGGCTGGCTGGCATTTTTCTTTCATTCTTTGAATTAAATTCAACGGAAATTTTAAGGGGAAAAAGTCAGTTACCTAGGCCCTCATTTTTTTTAATTAAGTCATTTTCCTAATTAGGTAGAGAAATGGTTTTTAAACGTTGTCAAAAACTTTTCTGGAATCCGCCGCGGGTTTAACACATTGGAAGATCATGGTAAGCTGCATATCTTCCAGTCACGTGATGATAAATCTGTGAGGGAAGCAGTTTTTTTTAAATTAATAATTATTATATCATTACACGTATTAATTAATAATCATACTATTATACAATAATTAATTATGTTAATTAACACTTCATTATAAAGCCCCATTATTCTGCACTTCAGCAAAACTTCCATCCAACCTACTTTAGGGGCAGTTTTGCTTGAAAGAAAGCAGAGTTTGAGTATGATGAGTTTTGGGTTTTTTTTAAATATATTTATATTGATTTCAGAGAGGAAGTGAGAGGGAAAGAGAGAGAGGAACAGCAATGATGAGAGAGAATCATTGATCGGCTGCCTCCTGCACACCCCACACTGGGGATCGGAGCCTGAACCCAGGCATGAGCCCTGACCGGGAATCGAACTGTGCCTCCTGGATCGTAGGTCGATGTTCAATCACTGAGCCATGCCAGCCGGGCAAGTCAAATGAGTTTTCATCTCTAGTTCTCATGGTCCTGTAGGTGACTTTTCATTTCTCTCTCAAAAACACTTATCAGTTTGTTCCAAGGACAATGGGTTCGTACTCACCTGCCTCTCAATGTCGGAAAGCAGAGCGCTGGCACCGATCCGAAAGAGCTCTGGCTTCAGCCACTCATCTCCTAGCTCCTCCTTTATGAGGGAGAGCCAGGCAAGGGAATCCTTTGCACTGCGGATGCCTCCTGCCGGCTTAAAGCCCACCTATAAGGGGAGGTGGTTAAGACAAGGTTTATTGTCACTGGGTTGCTTTTAAAAATGCTACTGCATCAATACAGGTCTCAATTCTCTCGCTCTCTTTTTTTTAGTCTATTCCAGCTAACCCAGCAAAAGAGCTTAGATGACTGACCCATGCCCATTCACACTACAATATGACTTTCCCAAGACTAATGTGAAGAATGTGCTTCTGAGGAGGCTCTAATGAGAGTTAATAACCCTCATTAACACTGCACTTATTGGAAAGTGATAAACCTCAACCACCTAGACTATAGCTGTGGACCTGGGATAAGCAAGAAAGTGTCAATAAATAGGGAAACATATCACAAAAGCCCACTCATTCTACATTTCTGCTAGGAAGCCTGGATAGACCCTTTCAGCGCTTCATCTTGAGGTGCAGAGGACACAAGTGTGTCTCTAAAACAAGAGCGAACCAGAAAGCCCACACTCACCACAATGGCAGCAATCAGCAAGGAGCGCTGACAGTTGTTTTAATCAGCTTACGCTGCAGGGACGTTTCCCCCTGAGTTGTAAGTAAACAGTTATATAAAGCAGCCAGACTCATTCAAGAAGCACAGCAGACAAAGACAGGGTAGGTAGGGGCTCTTCCCACTTCCGTAGTCTTTGAAGGTGCCCATAAAACAGCGCCATTTAGCTAATAACTGATGTTTACAAATGATGTCCCTGAGCCCACTGGAAAAGGACAAATGTGCTCTACACACAGGAAAACCTGCTTATCTGGATTCACCTGACTCGAGAACTAGGCCAGTGGTTGGGAAACTCATTAGTCAACAGAGCCAAATATCAACAGTATGTTGAAATTTCTTTTGAGAGCCAAAGTTTTAAAACTTAAACTTCTTCTAACGCCACTTCAAAATAGACTCGCCCAGGCCGTGGTGTTTTGTGGAAGAGTCTGCAGACCATGGAACTAGACTATCCAGTAGAGACTTTCTAGAAGGGAGTAATCAAGAAAACGCCCCCTGGCCTGAGTACTAACTCTCACGCACGTGACAACTCAGAGTTGCGGGTTTCCGAGGCACACGAGCAGCGGTGACAGCTAGCGGAAGACTAGAGAAGGGAAGCAATAATAAATGAGCCCAAGCTAGAAACCTCATAGTTCACCAGGACTCCACCGTTTTCCTCACCATGCCACCCTCGATCGATCAACCGCCAGGTCCCACCAACCCTACCCTCTTCACTTCCCTATGCTCCCTGTGCACACTCTCCTATCTACTCTCACGTTCACTGCTTTCCTTTTGACCCTTATCACTTCTCACGAGGAGGATCAGTAAAGGTCTCCCAACTGGTTTCCATGCCTCAATCATACACGTACAAGAGAGAGAGTAACAGCAATGATGAGAGAGAATCATTGATCGGCTCCACACTGGGGATCGGAGCCTGAACCTAGGCATGAGCCCTGACCGGGAATCGAACCGTGCCTCCTGGATCATAGGTCGATGTTCCAGGATCGACCTATGTTCATAGGTCGACTCTACCCACATCTTCCTGTTGCTTTGGAAGCCAAGTGACTCTGTAAAAGTGAGGGGAGTTGGGGAAAGTGGGGCAGGCAAGTGGGATGGGTTTATTTATTAAGAAGAGGCAAAAAAAAAAAAAAAAAAAAAAAAAAAAAAGCCAAAACTGGTTTGGCTCAATGGATAGAGCGTCGGTCTACAGACTGAAAGGTCCCAGGTTTGATTCCAGTCAAGGACATGTACCTTGGTTGCAGGCACATCCCCAGTAAGGGGTGTGCAGGAGGCAGCTGGTTGATGTTTCTCTCATCATCAATGTTTCTAGCTCTCTATCCCTCTCCTTTCCTCTCTGTGAAAAATCAATAAAATATATACTTTTTTTTTTTTAAAAAGAGGCAAAAAATATCTATTAGCTGATATTAGCATACATGTTAATCACAGGGGCACTTCTATCAATTAGGCAGTGCTGCCTATAGATTTTCCTGCATGATTCAGTTGTGTCAGCAAGTCTGTTTGACAGTGCTTCTGAAGACAGGTTCTAGCATAAGTCTGCACCTTTTGTAAGGCAGAGAATATGGAAAACATAAATCTGCAATGAAATCGGTTATGAAATATTAAACCTCTGCTTCTCAGGTGTGGCACTGAGCACAGTCTGGAAGGCAGCTGATCCCATTTCAAAACTCCCCTTAAATCAATGATGTAGAAACTTTACAGTCTAAGGACTGCCCAGGCAACCTGTCAACAACCCGAAAGGATGCCCCTGATTTGCAAGACACACATACAAGTGCCTCCCTGTGTGAAACCAACTGTGATTAAAAAAAAAAAAAACGAATACAGTTTACCTTGTCCTATCATAATGAAACTGGGATGAACTTGGCTTACTTGCTGAGGAAAGGGTCAACGCAATTCAAAAAGAAAGTGCTGAAAAACAGCAAAACATCCCTGGCTCTCTATGCTGGTCTAGAACATAGAGCATTTAAAACTTCTATTGACATTCTTTTTTTTTTTTTTTAATATATTTTATTGATTCTTTACAAAGAGGAAGGAAGAGGGATAGAGAGTTAGAAACATCGATGAGAGAGAAACACCGATCAGCTGCCTCCAGCACACTCTCCACCGGGTATGTGCCTGCAACCAAGGTACATGCCCTTGACTGGAATCGTACCTGGGACCCTTGAGTCCACAGACCGATGCTCTATCCACTGAGCCAAACCGGTTAGGGCTCTATTGACATTCGTTGCTTGTTGTCTAAGGGATCTCCTGGAAAGAGACTTGCTCATTTTTGTGTCCCTAACATATAACATAGGTTAACATGGTACATAGTAAGGACGCAATGAATGTTTGTTGAGACTAAAATAGAATTGGGTTCCCAATGGAGAGTTTTACTCCAATTATGGAGCTTATGAAATGTGGACATGCCTGAGGACTCCCCCTGACGCAGCACTGCAGGGATGCGTGCCCAGGCCTCTACAAGCAGAAAAAGCTTCCCATCTATGTGATGTTATTGGGCTGAGAAAAAGAAGTGCTGATCTAGTAAGTGGTGGGCCCACTCGCTCACATGGGGGAGGGAGCGTAAAGATAGAGTTATGTCATTTTTAGAGCTTTAAATTTTTAAATTTGGATCACTACAGAAAGGCAACCAAGGAGAGGTTATTCAACTTGGGTCAACTTTCATATGTAGGTCACAGTTGTTATTTAACCTATTTTGTACTTTTTTAAGATATAAAGTTATTTTTTTATATACCTATATATACTAGAGATACTAGAGGCCCAATGCACGAAATTTGTGCAAGAGGCTCAGCCCTCGCAGCCCCAGCTTCATCTGGAAGGTCGTCCGTCCAGTCTAATTAGCATATTATGGTTTTATTATTATAGATTATTATGCTATATTAATTGATTTCAGAGGGGAAGGGAGGAGAAAAAGATAGAAACATCAATGATGAGAGAACCATTGATTAGCTGCCTCATGCACACCCCACACTGGGGATTGAGCCCACAACCCGGCATGTGCCTTGACTGGGAACTGAACTAGGACCTCCTGATTAAAAGGTTGGCAATCAACCACTGAGCCACACCAGCCAAGCAAGATATAAAGTTATTCTGAAGGAGAAAATTCTAGAAGGAGTAATTGCTTCTCAAACCCAGTACATTCTCAAAAAGGTCTCTGATTCCAAAATAAACGGAAGCTACAGCCACATATAAAGTCATCACATCCAGTTGGCAAAGGATTAAAGATCTTTTTTGGGGTGTCTATTCGGCAGAAAGCACGAGATTGGTTTTACAGGATGTCTTCTGAGGAAGGGAAAGTCTCATTTAAAAAAAAATTATCGTTCTTTCCAAGGATGTAAAAAAAAAAATTCCTTTGAGATAATTTGCAACTAAACAAGCAACTTGAAGTGAAAAGAAAAATGCAAACTCATTTAAAAAAAAAAAAGCACCTCATACGCATTTTTTCTTTTAACCTCATGTTTTCAAAAAATATGTATTATTTTTCGAAAAGCTGACAAAAGCTAGCATATACCCTCCTCAGCTTAACAGCCTTCCAAAGAGCACATCTAACTGCCATAAAACGCAAAAATGGATATTTAATTCAAGAGCTATATAACGTCTAGCTACCTTTTCCCTGCTGTTTCACAGCATTTCATTATTTTGTTTAATAAGTTCATCTCCTCAAGAATTTTCTCTTCACCTCATATTATTAAAAGTAATAAGTTTTTCTGGACCGGGGGTTTCCCAACAGAAAAACCAATTTATGTGTGTCCTTCAATAATGACAGGAAAAGATTATTTCCCATTATATTGCATACTTTTCATATCACCACCACAGCTTATCATTCAATAAATGTTACTCTGCAATTCTTTCCATTCCTCAAGGAAGTTTAATTTCTGCATTAACCTGTTTTCTCTGGCCAACACCTCACCAGAAAGCCTCTGTGTTGCGGCAGAATTAGTTCGTTAAAGAACCCATTTAGGGATTTCTTGTCAGTGATAAAATTGTCTCCGGTTAAGAAAAGGACATAAAGTAAGTTTACATCTTGATCACGCATACTTCCTCCCACACTCACACTCACTTTCTGTTCACTGCACATGTGTTCTTTTGTAATGAAAAGTAAATTAAACATTTATCTTAATAAGGGTAACTCATTCACACCTTCTGCATATGAAGACAGTTATCGTGGCTGTTGCGCGTATTATAAATAGCATTCGCTTTGCTCTGAAGGAAGATGTGCTGGCAATAGCATACCTTGTTTCCAGTTTTCCAGAAGAAATCTCTAATGGCCCGGAGCATTACTATAGCTACCGGGAAGGTGGCATTGACTGTTTCTTTTCCAGTAGAAGTCTTAATAAAATCTGAACCTAAAACACAAGGCAGAAACGCTGCGTGTCAGTTTAAACACTTATTTTTTTACACTTCACTTTTAAGTCAGTGGAAGAAAGGAGTTGTATACATTTCTTTTCCCAAAGAACACAACTTTTTTTTCAAGAATTAGTGGAAAAACTAAAAAATATATATCTCTTTAAAATAATTATTTCCATGCTCTTCCCCCCCAACCTTACTATAAAATGAATTACATTAAGCACCGAATGAATTCTCATGAACCCCTGGGGCTCTTGCCTCTATATTTCCATATCACCAATTAAAATCAAGTTGGTTTATTTAATGCATAACTGAGATGAATAAAACAATTTTATTCCCTGTACTTAGCATCATATAACACGTTACCACGAAAATGGATTGCCAACTCATTTTCCCCTCATTTCCGTATGCTTGATAGAAAGCACACAGAACAGCTGTGGCAACACAAGATGAATCACCAATAGCTGATTTCCACTGTGCTGTTTGTTAATAAACGCACTGTCTTCCAACCAGATTAGGGTTTTTATGAAAAATCCTATGTTAGTTCATAACTTGCAAATATTTTAAATGACTTCTTGTCTCTGAAATAGATCTTCTACCTATTGATGCAGTTTAACAGAATAACATAAAGAGACAAAGAAATGATAACAGTTAAGATTCACTACGGGCGATGCACCATGCACTAATTCTAGGTTATTAAAGAATTAACTCAGTAAATCCTCATGACAGCTGTAAAAGTTAGGTACTAAAATGATCCACCTTTTTTTTAGAGAGAGAGGAAGGGAGATGGGGAGAGGGGGAGAGTGGAGGGGGGGGGGAGAGAGAGAGAGAGAGAGAGAGAGAGAGAGAGAGAGAGAGAGAGAGAGAGAAACATTTATCAATTGCCTCAGTTGCCTCCCATACACTCCCCAATTGGGGATCGAACCAGCGGCCTTTCGGTGCATGGGGCAATGCTCCACCAACTAAGCTACTCTGGCCAGGGCAAATGATCAGCATTTTTAAAGAGGAAATTGAAGCATATGATGTTAAGTAACTTGCTTGAGGTTGCATAAGTAAGCAGAGGAGGTAGAATTTTAACCAAAGCAATATAGCTTACCCAATATGCTACAGTGTCTCCAAGAAACATACTTAGTTCACACAGACATATAGCCAAATAGAGATCCTATCTTTCACGTGGTTACCTATTCCTGAAATACTCAAAGTGTGGGTAACAGACCGGCAGCATGGAACCTGTCAAAAGTGCAGACTTCTCGGGCCCTCCACCAGACCAACTGAATCTAAATCTGAGTATCAGCGAGGTCCCTACGTGATTCCTGTGAAAATTTACAGCCCTAGCCCATTGAATCCATGGATCCATAGGCAAGGCAAATCTCTGAGAATCTCTCATGGTCTATCAAAAAATGGTCGATGGCCAAAACCGGTTTGGCTCAGTGGATAGAGCGTTGACCTGCGGACTGAAAGGTCCCGGGTTCAATTCCGGTCAAGGGCATGTACCTTGATTGCGGGCACATCCCCATTGGGGGGTGTACAAGAGGCAGCTGATTGATGATTCTCTCTAATTGATGTTTCTGGCTCTCTATTCCTCTCTCTTCCTCTCTGTAAAAAATCAATAATATATATATATATTATTGTATAAGTATTGTATATATATTATTTTATTAAGTAGAAGTCTTAATAAAATCTGAACCTAAAAAACAAGGCAGAAACACTGCGTGTCAGTTTAAACACTTATTTTTTTACTTATATATATATATATATATATTTAAAAAATGGTCGATGGAAGTGGAGGGGAAAAGTGGCCAAAACTTTCCCCTCTAGTTACCATTGGAAAAGATACATCCACAACCGTTTTGTGCATAGGAAGGTTAAAGTGATATGCCTTTAGCAGGTGCACTGTGTGTAAAGCACTGTGAAAAATATAAAATAAAATAAAAATCCACACCTTTGCCCTCAAAGCCACATACATTCTACATGCAAGTGGAGGTGAAACCTAGTCCTGTGTGATCACGTGATGAGCCAGAAGTCAGCAGATCTGGTTTCCGGCTCTAGCTCTGAAACTTACCTTCAAATTCCATCTCCTAAACTCACTCGTTTTTAAAATACCTTTTTGTTGATTTCATAGAGGAAGGGAGAGGGAGAGAGAAATAGAAACATACAAGATGTGAGAGAAACATTGATCTGCTGCCTCCTGTACGCCCCCCCACAATGGATCGAGCCTGCAACCTATGCATGTGCCCTGACCAGGAATCTAACTGTGACCTCCAGGTTCACGAGTCAATGCTCAACCCTGAGCCACATCAGCTGGGGCCTAATTTCTCTTGTTTGTAAAATAGATCTGAAAATTCTTACCGGCTTCATAGTGCTATTTGAGGCGTCAAAAGAGACAGTCTATGTGAAAGCACTCTGAAAACTGTTAAGCGTTATACACATGCGAAAGGAGCAAAGACCTAGGTAGGGTTGCAGTCTAGAAATACCATAGGAATTCCAACATACTGGAACAGGTCACTGGAAGCCATCTTTTCTTTGGGTCTGGAGGCAGGCCCATGTGGGGAAAACGGAGACATAATTGCCATGCATGCATTCATTCAACAAATATTGACTAAGTGCTTACTATGCTCTAGACTCTTCTATAGATCTATAGATCTTTAGTTTTCCTTTCTTGTAATGCCTTTATCTATTATAGGAATAGACCACTAAACAAAACAAAGTCCCTGCCCTTGTGATAATTTCTGGAAGAGGAAGACAGTAAACTTAAATATATAACAAAAGCCAGTGCCGTGAAACAAATAAGCAATGAACAGGAGAGGGCGATGGATTTGGGGAAAGAGAGTATATTTAAATAGAGTCCTCATAAAAGCATCTCCGATGAGTGAAATGCAGAGTGAGTGAGGGGAATCTGTGAAAAGAGCCTTGCAAGAAGGAAATCAGCATCTGCGTCCCTCTTCACATTGCCTCCTTTCCCCTGTGTGAGCTTAAGCTTCCTCTGTCTCTCTCTTACGAGAACAGTTGTGATGGTATTTAGGGACCACCCGGATAATCCAGAACAATCACTTCATCTCAGTGTCCTTAATTTAATCACATCAGCAAAATCCTTTTTCCCCCCAAATATAAGCTAATATTCACAGGTTCTGGGGATTAGGATGTGGACGTACGTTGGGGAGCCATTATCAGCTTACCACACTTCCCAATCTGTATATCTTTGATCCCATTTTCTTGTCTTATAGCATCTGGTAGGACTTCCGGGACAATGTTCCTTCCTCGTTCTTAAGGAGAACTTAGGGGGAAAGTATCTAGTTTCTCATCATAAGTATGTTAGATAGAGTTTGTTTCTAGATGTTCTTTATCAAACTGAGGTTGTTCCTCTCTATTCCAAGTTCGCTGAGAATTTTTATTATGAATTGGTATTGAAATTTATCAAATGCCTAATCTGTATCAACTCTATGATCATATGACTTTTCTTTCGTACATTATTGATACAGTGGATTACATTACATCAAGCCAGCCTTGAATCTCTATAAAGTAAATCCCATTTGGTTGTGGTGTATAATTACTTTTATACCTTGTTGGCCTCATTTTACTAATATGTTGTTGAAGATGTTTGCATCTATGTTCATGAGTGATATCCTATCTAATAAAATAGTAATATGCAAATTGACTGTTACTCCAACACACATAATGGCTGCCCCCATGTGAACATAAGATTGCCACCACAAGATGGCCAGCAGGGGAGGGCAGTTGGGAAGGACCAGGCCTGCAAGGGAGGGTAGTTGGGGGTGATCAAGCCTGCAGGGGAGGGCAGTTAGGGGTGACCAGGATGGCAGAGGAAGTTGAGGGCAACTGGCAGGCAGAAGCAGTTAGAGGCAATCAGGAAGGCAGGCAGGCAAGCAGTTGGGAGCCAGCAGTCCAAGATTGGGCCTAAATGGGCAATCGGACATCCCTTGAGGGGTTTCAGATTGAAGAGGGTGCAGGTGTGGCTGAGGGACACACACACACACCCCTGTGCATGAATTTCGTGCACAGGACCTCTAGTTGATCTATAGTTTTCCTTTCTTGTAATGCCTTTATCTGGATTTGATATTAGGATAAAGATGGTCTTACAGTCTCTATTATTTTGTGGAAGTGACTGTAGAGAATTGGTATTTCTACCTTAAATGTTTGGTAGAATTCACCAGTGAAATCATCTAGAGCTGAACTTAATTTTTGTAAGGTTATTATTATCTTTATTTATAAGGTTATATTATTTTTGTAAGGTTATATTATTTTTATTTAAATATTGATTTTAGACCATTCTTTTTTAACAATTTGTAAAGTTATTAAATAAATAATTTTAAAATATTCTACAATTTAAATATTTTATAAAGTAGATTAAAATTAAAATAATTTCTTCAATAGTTATAGATTTATTCAGACCTTTTCACTTTGTGTGAGTTTTGATTGTTTATGTCTTTGATCTATTTAATCTAGGTTATTCAATTGTGGGCACACAGTATTCCTTTATTATTGTTTTAATGTTTGTAAGAAGAGTAATGATCCTCCTTTCATTTTTAATATTAATTTATGTCTTTTAACTTTTATTCTTCAGTAGTCTGTCTAGAAGTTTACCAATTTTATTGATATATTTTTTTAAAAAAACAGCTTTTTGGGTTTTTTAATTTTATCTGTTGTTTTGTTTTCAATTTAATTGATTTCTGCTCTGGTTTTTATTTCTTTTGTTCTGCTTGCCTTAGGCTTGCATTGTTCTTTCTCTATTTTCCAAAGTTAGAAGGCTAATATTATTGATTTTAGACCATTCTTTTTATATTAATAAACATACCTAATGTTATAAATTTCTCTCTAAGCAATATTTTTGCATTGAAGAGTCTGCTTTTTTGACAATCTTCTTTTCATCGCTAGATTTAGACCATATCATTTAAAGCTATTATTGATTTAGTTGAATTATTATCTACAATGTTTATCAATTTTCTGTTTATTATGTTTCTATCTTTATTAAATTTTACAA